GGTTCTGCCTCTCTCTCCCGCCCCCACTGCATGTCCCAGCCCTTCCAGCCTCATGGCCTTTATGGTCCTCTCTGCCTGGAAGCCTCCATCCACCCCCTCCTCTGCTCAGCTTAGGCCTTTCTCCCTGGTGCCCCTCATGGTGGGGCAGGCACCTCCTTACGGCTCCCATCACACAGCCCCCTCACTCTGGCTGTAGCCTATCTGGCAATCCCTCCATGAAGTCAGGGGCCTCAGTGTGGCCTGGCCCACAGCAGCGTTCAGGAAACATCTGTTGATCAGTGGAGTCATAAAAGTTGGTCAGGATTTGGATGGTTCTCTGTCATTGCCCCACATAACTGAGCCCAGGTCTCTGGGCCCCCATCCATCCCCAGGGCCGGATCTCCTTCTACATGACCAACTATGGCGAGGAGGGGACGCACGTGGGGAGTGCAGCAGCCCTGGACAGCACGGACCTGGTGTTTGGCCAGTACCGGGAGGCAGGTACGTCTGCCATGGCTTGGCCCTGTGGAGCACGTGCCAGAGGCCTGGGCTTGTGGTCCCTTTTGAGGCAGGTCAGGCCCAGTCCCTCCTGATGTGAAGGTGAGGCCCACATTAGTTACCCTATATGCTCTTCCGGCATGATGCCAGGGAGGGCCAAGGCGCTGGGGGGAAGAACTTTCTGAGCAAAAGAGCCAAGCCAGGGACAGGAGTTTGGAGGGGGTGGGCTTCCCCTCTGGGGAGACCAGGCAGTGTTGTGGTTAAGAGCCTGTGCTCCGACTCGTCCACGGTTACCAGTTGTCAGGTTTGGGGCAAGCCACTTCTCTTCTCTGAGCATCAGTTTTCTCACCTCCGAAATCAAGGCGATGATGGTATTGCAACCCCTGCATGGTGGGGCTGCTGGGAGCATGCAGCGAGGGCAGGCCTGGCTGCGGCTGTGGCACCTGCCATGTTCCCCTGTCCACACAGTGCAGACTCTGCTGGCCTCTTTCCAGGCACTGCAGCCTTCAGGGAGCAGAAGCAGATGGGAGGGCTGGCAGGTCCCAGCCAGGGAGCTGGCTCACTTCTAAGTGAAAGAGTGTGAGCAAGGAAGGATCGAAGACTACGACTGAAGAAAATCAATGTCCATTAAAGAGTGACTGGGGGTGAAGGAGTTAGCCCAGGGAACTGTGAGCGGAGGGTTCCAGGGTGGTGGTTATCGGGGCCCTGCAAGGGCCCCACCCTGCAGAGTGTCAGGGAGGCGACTCTTGACCCTTCCTCATCTCAGGCGCTGCACGATCATGGATGGGCAAGTCGCTTAACTGCTCCTTGCCTCTGTTTCCTCATCCATAATGGGAGATGGTGAGCCCCCTCAAGACGGTTGCTGTGGGGTTCATGGGGCAGATAATGCAAAGCTGTCAGCACAGGGCCTGGCACAGGGTAAGCACTCAGTGTCAGAGGCGATGTGGTGACATGGGCCTCTCGCCCTGGGACAGCTCTTTAGGGAGACAGGGCCTGGCCAGGCTGTGCAGAGCCATCCCTGGACCCTCATGGTGTTCCAGTCTACTCTCAGACTGTCTCCTCCCCTGACCGCTGCGCCAGACCCCACCCCACATGCTGCAGGACAGATTCCCTGTGATAGTCTGTGGCTCAGCACCATTAGTGGGATTTCCCCAAACGCTGGGCCACAAGCCAGGCCCCTGCCAGTTCTGCTGAGTGCTTCCTGCATGTTTTTGCTGAAAGGGTCTCTGGTGAGGGCTCCAAGCAGGGCCGAGTGGGGACCCTGGCGTCCCAGTGGCAGCTGGGCACTCCACACAGGGCTGTTTGGTCCCTGGCTGCCCCTGCAGGAGGGAGCCCTCTGGCACCACAGGTCAGCAGAAGGCCCTGCATCTGAGCAGCAGCTGAGGGCACTCGTGTGGGGTAAGGAGGTGGGTCTGACCCCGTGCCCCAGCCCTGACTCATTCTACCCCCTGTGGAATGGGGAGAACAGGGTACTCAGAACAACAGTTTAGCACTCACCAAGCTCTTGAACGCCAGGGTGCTGCCCTCAGTACTGGAAGCAGTGGAGGCTCTGTCTCATTTCACCTCGCAGCTGAGGTGAGGACCCTGCCTGAGGTCCCACCAAACGAGGGCTGGCCCGCACTGTGCTGCCTCAGGACAGCCCCGCCAGCCACATCACAGTTACCCATCAGAGCCTGGTGATGGTGCGCCCTCTGACAGTAGATGGGCGTTTACCAGAGATTTTGTTTAAAGAAAGGGTTTTAACTGCCATAAACAGGTTTTAATATTTCTTCCCTAGTCCAGAGGTTGTGAGCTAGTGGCCTGTACTTTTATTTGGTTCACAGGATGATTTTTTTTTAAGTAATTGAATTAGTTGAAACATTTAAAAATCAGGTAGTTTCTCATTAAAAAAAAAAAAAAGGCAAGCTAGATTTCTTCTTCTTTTGAAAAACTGGATGATTCGGCCTCCCTGGACAGCAAGCCGCTGGTCTGAACAGCCACCTGTCTCTTGAGGTGAGACAGGCCTGTGCTTTCTGATCTGCCCACCTGGTTCCTGCACCTGCCTGGTCCCCTAGGCATCAAACTTGCTTCCCTTGCTCTCATCCAGCTCCCTTACGGTCCAGACAGGGAGATGGAAGCCCGGGCAGGAAGGGCCTTGGCCCTGGACCCCCACAGGGTTGGTTGCTCCCCGCCTCCCCAGCCCCTACCCCCAGGGACCTCTCCACTAACCGCTGCTGCCTCCCCACACAGGTGTGTTGATGTATCGGGACTACCCCCTGGAACAGTTCATGGCCCAGTGCTATGGCAACGTAAATGACCTGGGCAAGGGGCGCCAGATGCCCGTCCACTACGGCTGCAAGGAGCGCCATTTCGTCACCATCTCCTCTCCACTGGCCACACAGATCCCGCAGGGTGAGGACGCACGCTCTGGGCCTGGTACCCCTGTGCAGGCCCCTGCCCTTCTCCATCCCAGGGTGGCTTGCTGGCTAGTGACACGGTTAGAGCGCTGGTGGGACCTACAGACTCTCTCGACCCTTCTTGTCTGGAACCCTTCAGAGGAGGGCTGTGGTGGTGTCCTCACCTGTTTGGCAGGCTTGAGCTGGCATGACCACACCCTTGATTCCTGAAATGTGTGCCTACCCCATTTGTCCTCTCACAAACATAGCCAACTGCACATGACAGTGTATACCAGGTTCCTTGCTAACGGTCACCTAGCAGGTAGTGAGAAAAGTAGGGACTCAAATCATGGACTGTATGGCTCCAGAGCCTGGATTCTTGACCCTGACCCTGCTCCGCCTCCGTCCTCGGAGTCCAGCTCCCCTAAAGCTTACTCTGGAAGCCCACAGCTCTTACAGCAGCTGGTTTGGCTTCTGTTAAAGACAGCTGCTTGGGAAGCAGACCCTCCAGGGCCGGGCCCGCTCCGCACAGTGCGGACACCATGGAAGCAGACCTCCCGCCCGACTCCCTGGAGCCTGCCCTTGGTTGCGGGTCAGCCTGGACTTCGGCTCTCTCTGCTCCTGGCAGCCCAGATGCATGAGGTGCTGTGTCTACAGGGTTAGCAGAGTGCCTGGCACGTCAGAAGACCCCATGCACGCTCACTCATAACGTTTTACGTGGGAACAGGAGCGGTTCATGCCTCTGAGGTGGGAGCTGGGCAGGGCAGCCTTCTGGGAGGAGGTGGCATTTTTGCTGAAGGTTGGTAGGATTTCCATAAGGTAGGGCCCTGGCCCTCACCTTCCATTTGGGTGCCATTAAGTCACTCAGTTGGCAAATGTGTGGAGTTATCTGTTAGTTGGCACCACTCTAGGCTCAGTGAACAAGTGACAGACAAACCCCTCAGCCCTCCTGGTGCTGACTGGGGATAGGGAAGACGGACAGTAAACAAGATGAAGACGTGACTCACAGAGCCTGTCAGGGGTGATAAGTCCTATAGGGAAAAGCGAAGCTGGGAAGGAGTGCCGCTGGGAAGGAGAGCCGTGTGGTAGGCGAGGCGGGGCAGCATCACCAGTCGGCATTTTAGTCGAGACCAGGAGGCGAGGCGGGGAGCCAGCGGGGATCTTGAGGTGGCTGCCTGCTGGATGTGATCGAGGGACAGAGAGGAACCCTGTGGGGCACTTGTGGATGGTGGGCGGGGGGAGAGAGAAGTCAGAGTTCCGGGAGGGTGCAGTCAGTGGGGCCTCAGGGCCTTCAACTTTTATCCAGAGTGGAATCAGGACTGTGGGGGAGGGGACGAGTTGCGGCCGTGGAATGACTTGGCCTGGCTCATAATTTAAGACTCTCCTGCTGCCCCGAGGGTAATAAGTCAGTCCTCGGTTGGGCCGGTGAGAGGTGAGGTGACCATGGTGTGACCTGGATGAGGTAAAGGAGGTGGGGAGAAGGGATCAGATTCTGGCTCTGTTTTGAAGGTGGAGTAGGTGTGGGGATGACAGAAGGTTAGAAGTCAAAGATGGTGCTGACATATTGGGCCTGAGGAGTTGGAATGATGGAGCTGCCATCAGCTGAGGGAAGGAGATTGAGGTCGAGCAGGTTCTGGGGGTACAGTCAGGACATCAGGTGTTTTCTTTCCCCTCGGAGCCAGCCTGAGCCCAGGAGCCTGGGGTTGGGGTGAGTGTGTGTGTGTGTGCACGCGAGAGAGAGATCTGAGTGTGTGTGAGGCTCTGCTCCTGCTCACCACCCTTTCACTCTCTGCAGCTGTTGGGGCGGCCTATGCAGCCAAGCGGGCCAACACCAACAGGATCGTCATCTGTTACTTTGGTGAGGGGGCAGCCAGCGAGGGGGACGCCCACGCAGGCTTCAACTTCGCTGCCACCCTTGAGTGCCCCATCATTTTCTTCTGCCGGAACAACGGCTATGCCATCTCCACGCCCACCTCCGAGCAGTACCGCGGGGACGGCATTGGTACGGGCCTGTGTCCTGTCTTCCTCTCGCCCCTCCTGCCACCCCCTGCCCGCCTCCTCTTCTCTTCCTGCGATGTCTGGCACAAGGCACAAGGGGAGGTCACAGGAGTCAGCGAATGGAGTGCTCCTCTGTTTGCTCTCCTCTCCTTTCTTTTCCCTCTCCCATTTCTTGCTCACTGTCCTCATCTGAGCATTGGGCTCTGACCTGCCCCTGTCCCCACAGCGGCTCGAGGCCCTGGGTACGGCATCATGTCAATCCGAGTGGACGGCAATGACGTGTTTGCTGTGTACAACGCCACCAAGGAGGCGCGGCGGCGCGCCGTGGCAGAGAACCAGCCCTTCCTCATTGAGGCCATGACCTACAGGTGACTGCCTCCTCCACCCCCCACCAGCCTTGCAGCCACCATCTTTAGCATCTTCTCCACATTGATCACTGGGGCCCCCAAAGCCTGCCTCCACCCATGTAGTATCCCCTTCCTTGCCTTTATGCCGTGTCCACCCCTCTCCCCCTGGGCAGGATTGGGCACCACAGCACCAGTGACGACAGCTCGGCGTACCGCTCGGTAGACGAGGTCAATTACTGGGACAAGCAGGATCACCCCATCTCCCGGCTGAGGCACTACATGCAGAACCACGGCTGGTGGGATGATGAACAGGAGAAGGCCTGGAGGAAGCAGTCCCGCAAGAAGGTGAGGGCCTACCCCTGCTGGAAACCGACGCCCCGAGGGCATGTTCCGGGGTGGTGCATCATGGAGAACCCCAGAAGGATGGAGAGGCTGGGATTTAGGGGACATTGAACTGGGAGGCTCAGGGATCATCCCAGTGGTATGTCTAAGCATGGCCTATGGAGCCAGGCTGCTGAGCACGCACACCTCTGCTGTGTCCTGGGCGCGATGTCTGCCCTCTGCTCCCTCATCTCTGAAGAGGGATTCCAGGGTACCCACTTCAGGTTTTTTGAGAGCGAGGTGACTTTATCTGAGTGCAGTGGAAGTGTCCCGCCCAAAGCCAGTCCGCTGCCCCCTGGCTGTGGTCATCAGGAGTCAGAGGCAGTGTAGGCCAGTGGTAAGGGCAGAGCCTGGCGTTAGGCAGCTCAGCGTGTCCCGCGGTGCCCCTAATTGCATCGTTCTGGGCAAGTTGCTTCTCTTCTCTGGGCCTTGGTTTCCTCATCTTTAAGCCGCCTGCTTCTTAGGGCTGCTGAGATGCTGAAACCATTCCGTACTCGTCATCCTGTGTCTGGTCTTGTGAAGGATGGAGGTGCTGGGACTGGGGGCGTTGATGGGGGAATGTCAGCTGTCACCGCTGTGATGATGAGTGTCTCCATTGTCCAGATGGGAACATAAAGGCTCAGGGGAGTTAACCCCTTTCCAAGGTCCCGCAGGTAGGAGGCAGGCCCTGGGTGGGAAGCCGGCTGCCTGCCCAACTGTCCTGTGCCCCCCAGGTGATGGAGGCCTTCGAGCAGGCCGAGCGGAAGCTGAAGCCCAACCCCAGCCTGCTCTTCTCGGACGTGTATCAGGAGATGCCCGCCCAGCTCCGCAAGCAGCAGGAGTCCCTGGCCCGTCACCTCCAGACCTACGGTGAACACTATCCCCTGGACCACTTTGAGAAGTGAGGCCCACTCGCCCCACCCCACCCACCTCTGCTCCAAGAGGCAGCTCCAGACTGAAGGGCAGAGGGAGCCAGCAGGACACTTCCCCTCCCCCAGCCAGCTCCCTCCAAGACACTTGGGGGCCAGAGCAGTGCCTGAGACGGTAAGGGGGGGTTTCCGCTTACCATCCCTATTCCTCCAAGCTGTTACATTGTGGGGGGCTCTGTAACGACTTTGCCCATGGCTACAGTGCCTTCTCCTAGGGGCTAAGCCAGGGCGCCTCCAGGACTGGAAGCCTGTCTGGGTTGGGGGCAGGTATGGGAGGTCAGCTTTGGAACTTACTTAAAGTAAGAAGTGGTTAGCAGGCAGTGAATAAACTGTGTCTCTACATTTGGCTCTCTGCCCCCTCTGGTCTCTGAATTTTTGAGTTTTAGAAGTGGGAGGAGAGTCCTGCATGACTGGTTTGGGACCTTCCCCCCCTTACATTAGATGAATAAGGCCAAGGCCGTTGAGCTGTCTACTTCCCCCGGAAACTTTTGCAAGCTGTAAGGCCAGCTTCAGCAGACAGGAGGGGGGTAGAGTCCTCCAAAGATGGACTCCCGCTCTCCCATAACATGAGGCAAGCCTGTCCCCAGCAGTGTGATGAGGAGGCCGTTGGAGCTGGCCCTATCCAGTAAGGGTGGGGAAGATGTCTAGTATAAAGATCAGGGTGTGGCTGAGTTCTGCTCTGTCAGTGTCTCAGGGGGACCCACAGTGCAAAGACAACTCCAGGCCTCAGAATGGGGAGTGCATATTTTTCAAAAATAAAAAGTAGACAACAATCTTCCGCCTTCCGCTGCCCAGTCCCATAGCCTGGGCAGGCCCAGTAGGGGCTCAAACAGCTGGGATTCCAGGACCTCCTCCTTCACACCAAGACCTAACAGGAGAGGCTGTGCAAGGGGCAGGCACCAAGGACCTGCCCAGGGCCCAGGCCAGGTCTACCCTCCCCTTAAGTCCCCACTGAGGCTCAGCAATGGAGCTCAGGGTCCTGCAGATGTTTCCAGAGCTGAATGCTGTCCTGGGGACTGAGGGGCCGCACCAGCAGCAGGTCACGGAAAGCACAGGGGTCAGCCTTGCGGTCTGCTGGCCAGGTTGTGAGGAAGCCTTTGTGGGCCCTGGGCACCAGGCCCAGGGCACGGAAGCACAGGCCGATGTAGACGTCATTGAAGGGGAACGGTGCCACACGGGCCATCGCCTGCAACAGCCAGGGTGCCAGGCGCCCAGCGATGACGTAGCCACCCCCGCTGACATAGGCCGGGTAGTCACCTTCGAAGAAGGACCTGGGCACGTAGAAGGGTCCTCCAGGCTTCCGGAGGGGCTTGGCCTGAGTAAAGACCTCACCCAGGTAGAGGCCTGGAGCCCAACTGCGTGGCAGAGCCCGCAGGTAGTGCAGCAGGGCAGGGGTATGCACAAAGGAGTCATCCTGAGCTAGCAGGACAAAGCTCACGCCAGGGCAGTGGTGGCCAAGCCAGGACAGCAGCAGCAGGTCCTTGAGTGTCTGGTTGAAGGGGACGTCCAGGAAGTCCCAGAGCAGCAGGTCACTGTAGCGACGGCTCTCCCAGGCCACAAGGGGGCCTAGGTCAGGGCTCCCCTCACCCACGGGGGACCCCAGCAGGAAGAGCAGCCGGATCTCAGGAGCTGGACCACCCCAGGTCTCCCTTACAGCCTGTCGTTCTGCAAAGCGCCCTGGTTCCGACTTGACAGCCAACAGCAGATAAGGTATGTCAGTTTCCTCGCAGCTGGCCACTTGGCCACTGCCAACTCGAGGCAGCCACCGTGGGAAGCTCCGGCAGGCTGCTGACAGCAAGAAGCGGCGGAGGTCCTCAGGGTAGGAGGTGAAGTCAGGGATCTCAGCGGCAGCAGCAGTCCCCCAAGCTCGGCATCCCCCCACCTCGGTGCTGTTTCCACTGGGCAGGGCCCCCAACCGCCACTGCTGCTGGTTCCAGTAAGCCGAGGGCAGTGGGGCAGTCTGGCCCAGACGGGCCGAGAGGTTAGCAGGCAGGGTGGGCTCGGGGCTGGCTGATGTGGGGCCTGGCAGGGTGCTGTGGGGTCCCCGGTAGGCCTTGTTCAGCCGAGACTCCGATGTCCACTCGATGTAAACTTTGAGGCCCAAGAGCGTGAGCAGCGCTGACAGGCAGAGAAGGCACTTGGGGCAGCGCATGACCCGGCCCAGGGAAGGGATGGCCGCGGGAGCTGCAAAGGAACCACAGAGGCCTTTGGGGTGCAGGGATGGGCCCTCAGTCCCCACCAATCCCCCCTAATGGCCTCACAGTCCCAGATGCTAAACCGGCCCCCAACCAAAGACCCAGCTGGTTCTTCCCTATTCCTCTGCCTGGAATCATTGCTCCAGCCCCATTCCAACACCCACTCTTTCCTCTCAGCCCAACCCCTTCCACCAGCCTGGTTCCCCCCACCCCGCAACTCATCCCTCTCACCAGGAACCTGGATCCCTGGGGTCAGCTCCTTCCAGTCATAACAACCCAGCCTCCCTTGCCCCACTAGTTCCCACCCTAGGAACTGGGGAGCCGGGACCTGTTCCCTCCTCTTTACCTCTGGGTTCGGCTCCCGCCAGCTCCGGCACCCTGGGCCTCAGGTCAGGCCCTCCCTGCTCCCTCCCTTCTGCCCTTGTCCGGCTGAGGCTGGGCTGTGGCTGTGTCGTTGTTCTTCAGCCCAGCCTAGACCGTCCAGAGGGGAGGGGCCGAGCCTAGCGGAGCGGCTGGGAGGGCCCCAGGGGCCGGGAGGGGCTAGGGCGGGGCTGAGGGAGGGGAAGAGAAGGAAGGCTGGAGGCCGACCTGCGAGATGGGGCTCTGGCGTGTTAGGGCTGGTTTTCTGGTGAGACAGCCGGGAAGGTGCAGGGGTGGCTGCAGAGACAGACGGGGCGCTGGGCGAGGCCTGGGAGGGGAGGACTAGCCTGGGAGAGAGTCCCAGGGAGGCTGAGACTGAGGGCCAGAGCAGAGCCTGGGCTGGGTAGCATTGGAATGGCCCAGGGACACCGAAGTGGCAAAGCTGGGAGGGCGGGGGGAGCTAGGGCCTGGTCGCAGGAGGAGGTAGAGGAGAACGCGCGGAGAGGAATGGGTCGGCCTGCCAGAGATGGGGGTGTTGTTGCCACCCGGGGTCAGGGTGGGGTGGGGAAGGGGGCTGGTGAGAAGGGGCTAGGGGAGGGGTGGGAGAGCTGGACAGGGAGACCTCAGGGACAGGCAGGGAGAGGAGAGAGGAGACTCAGGGAGGCAAAGAGGAGAGCACTGCCCGGAGAGAGAGAGGAAGGAGGAGGGAAATGGAGACAGTGGAGCCCCCGTGAGGGAGGCAGGTGGGATGGGCGGAGGCGATGGGGTCAGAGGAGGGAGTCTGCGAACTGAGAGCCAGAGCCAGACCCAGGACGAGGCGGGAAGGGAGCCAGGGAGGAGCAGAAGAGGACCAGATGGGAGAAGGGGCGGCTGGAGGGGGAGCCACGCCAGAGGGCGATAGAGGGGTGGGTGCACTGGGAACCCTCTCCTTGAGCCAGCCCTGCACCTCCTCCATCGCTGTGGCGCCTGGGCTGCCAGACTAGCAGGGCGGGAACCCATTCCTACCCAGCCCCGCCCACAGCTGCACTGGGACTCAGGAACACTCACATCCGGCCCCCCAGGGACAGGAGAGGGTGTCTGCTGGTGTTTACAGTCCTCCCCTCCCCCAGGCCCCTGCTGTTGCGGATACATTAGCTGTCTGGGGAGGCGGGCATTTAGGACCTTCTCATTGGAGACCTGGAACCTGGGGTGGGACTAAGCCTGGCCTGACCCCCTTCACCCCACCCAGGGTTGGGGAGGACTGTCCGATAGTCTCAGGGACCCTGACTGTAAGCAGCAGCAGTTGACTCTCTGTCTAGTGCTGATTTTCTCCCCCCAAGTTTGAATAATGGAGCCCATGGGACCAGCTGGAGGAAGACAGTGCTGAGGAAGTGGGGGAACATTAATGGAATAAAAGCTAGAGTGGGAAATGACAGGCAGGGGCTGGGGCCAGGAGCCTGAGCACCCTGGAGGGGGTCCAAGCCCTCCTTCCCTGGGGCCGGGAGAGAGGGTCAAGGCCCCAGCTCTCCTGGCTCATCTACCTTCTCCCAGAGGGTGCAGTTCTCCACACAAGGGGGGATGGGGACAGGACAGGTGAAATTGCCTCTCCCGGGGGCATTTGAAATCGCGGAGGGTCCAGTTTTGGTTGCTATGTGCACGTGAGCCCAATCAGGAGAGAAAGCACATAGCAGTGGGAACAGGAAAAGATGAATATCAAGAATGATTTAAGGGCCGGCCAAGTGGCGCGATGGTTAAGAACTGGCTTGGGACACCAGAGGGCCCCGGTTCGGATCCCGCATATGAGGACCAGAGACACTGCCCTCCACAGCTAAGATGTTGAACAACAGCTCAACCTGGAGCTGGGCTGCCGTGAGTCGCTGGCTACGGCATAGGCTGCAGCCCCTGTGGCAGTGGGTTGCCATGGGCTACCTTGTGTAGCCAGCAGCCAGCCTGAGCCAGCAGCCGCAATGAGTGGCCATCCAGAAGCCGGCGACTGATGTGCCTCACCCAGGAAGAGTGCAATGATGGTGCCAACTTGGGCCAGTGAAGCAACATCCTCCACAACTAGACTGAAGAACAAAAAGACAGCAACTTGTCTGTTCCCCTTCCCCCATTTCCCCAGCGCTGTTCCCATTTCCCCAATTCTTCAATAAAAATCTTTTTAAAAAAATGATTTAAGAGGCGCCTTCTTGTGGAAGAGTTGGCCAACTCGACATCCTGGCCTCTCAAAGCTTCTGGATCCCTCTTCCAGATGATGCCAGGGCAGTTCTGGCTTCTCGCCTCATTAACTGTAGGCCATTGTTGAGTCCAAGTTCCAGTCAGCCAACCAAGGAAGCTGTTAGAACCACCCCCAGCTGCACAAACTAACCCATTAAATCCAGCATCTCTAGTAAGTGCCCTTGGACCAGTGAACTTGGCTGGATCTAATGTTACATCCACCCTCACTTGTCTAACACCCTTAGAATCCACTCCTGCACTGGTTCCCCAGGTACAAGCTGTTACCTCCTGGGTCAAAGTGAACACAGGTCCCCTGGGGAACATTGAGATTTGACCCTAAGTATTTCTGGGTCTAGTGACAGCAGTGGTGCTCGTCATGAATCTTAAGGATGGACACTGCCTTTCAAGGCATCTGCCCCAGGTGAGGTGATCGCATCATGGGATTTTCAAACACAGGAAGGCTGGTCTCAGACACTGCTAAGGGAGGCCCAGAGTGACAGGGTTTCCTCTGGGTCCGACTGGATGACCCCATTCCAAATTTCAGGATTGCACTGTTTACCAGTCACTGCCCTCACTTTCATCGGAGGAACCGGTCAAGACTGGGAATTCAGCCATCATCCACCTGAAAAATATGTTATCCTTTCAGCCATATTAGCCCTGTGGTTACAAGAACTTTTGGGTGTGTCACAGAAGCACTCCAGTTGTGAATGTGACTCGAGCCAACAGACCTGAACTTGTCCTTGTCCATCTGTAGCTCAAGGGCACTCCCAAGAATCCATCCAGTGCCGGTGCCTATCTTTAGAATTGTCATTATTGTCACAACGGTCAAGCGCAGCAGCCAAGAGGGGCTCCCACAGCACGTGCTTCAGCTGGCACCTCATCACAGTCAACTCCCGTGACAGCCCCATTGTGATGACACCGCATGCCATGGATTTCTGGCATCTCAAACCCCACATCCCATCTCTGTGAGCCTATCTCACATTCGGAGAGCCTATCCGGGACATTCTGGATACTATATCAGTTTGGAGGACCCAATCAGGAGAGAAAAAAATAATCTGAACAAAGAAAGTTTAATATCAAGAATTATTGACTAACAGCAAACTGAAGTGACAAGGACTGGTATCGTGTCTTGGAATTTACTGGAAATCGACCTCCTGGGGTGTGGTGGAATCATTCACAGGGAGGTGTCTCAGTGGAGGCACTCCTCTATGAACTTGCTGGGGGGAGGTGGGGGCGCCGTGGGAGGCTGCTGATTACCTGGGTTAGGGAAGCCACATGCACTGCAGGAACCTGCAGAGCGAGCACACCTGAACAGGAGCCAGGAAGCAAAAGCCTTGCCTCCTGTAGCGTCTCTTGAGCGCCCTCTACTGACAAAGTTTATCATGCCAGTTAGCAAAGGAAAAACATTTCAAAGGACCGTATCACTTTTCACAGAGCAGGACAAAAGTTGACTTTGGAGCTGAGTCAAATCAATAAGCGGGAACCCCATAGGATTTTGGGGGCTCCTGATATTTAGTGAGTGTGGGACAGGGATGCTGTACCCTGCGGTGAGCTGACTAGTCCCACACAGGGAATAACCATCGCTGTGGAATGCCAGTAGCATCCCCTATATTAGCCAGGGTCCTGGCAGGAAACGGCGGCACACTTAAATGAGGATAATTTCAGAAGAGTCTCTTGACACAGTAGTGGGCAAGGTGGGGAGGCCACAAGGAAGAGTGCAGCTCCTTGGGGCTACTTGCAGCCAGGCGCCCTTACCTGCCCCAGGCCTGAAGAGGCAGAAGGGTTATTGGAACTGGAAAGAGAGCTGTGTAGGAAGGGCTGCCTGACAGGATGACAGGAACTGTGACCTTCAGCCTAGAGTGGAGCCAGCCAGTGTCACAGCCCTCAGCCTACCCCAACCCCCACGATGAGTGAGCCCCACTGGAAGCCAGAAGTATGGAGAACTGTCAGACACTCAACACAGCGCCGCCGAGATCCAGCACAGACTAGGCAGGGATGGGGCCGCCCGTGTCCCGAGACCGCTCCTCCGGACCCAACTTCAGGCCCTCGGTCCACTCGGCCCCCAGAACCTCGCAGTTGGGCAGCATTTCCTCCACCAAGATCCGAGTGAGGCCTGGGCTGGACACGGCAGGAAGGTCTGAGATGTCCAGCCTGCGGAGGTTCCTGACAGGAGGCAAGAAGGGGAGAGGCCCGCATAAGGACAGCATCCACATGTGTGAGTGTATGCGCGGGGGGGGGGGGGGGTCGGCCCCCATGCAGTCCCTAGCTTCTTAACTGTTCAGGAAATGTTAGAGCTGTCCAAGTCCATGAAATCCACTGTGTTAATGACAAATGGACACCTCTGGCTCCTATGGTTCTACAATGGTGTAAATATCATGGTGTTTTCATTACAAGCCAAAGGAAGAAAAATGAGGGGTCCTTTCATTCCCCTAGAGACTCATTGCCACTGCTCATTGTGCTTACCCCCCACAAACATTCTAGGTTTGTCACGGAGGCAGGGAGACGGGGAACTGCCTGCCCCTGCCCCTCCCACCCCCTACTTTCCCGTATCTGAGTTGGGTGGAAGCCCCTGCCTTGGCTCGGGGCCCAGGCTGAGCTGAACTGAAGTCTCACTGGAGGTGGTGGAGGCAGGCAAGGCCTCGTTCGGAGACTTGGGGGCAGCCGGCCAGCGAGAGCTCCTGCAATGAGTCGGCCAGCTGGTAGAGGCGGCTGAGACACCAGTCATCCACATGGGGACAGCGCTGCAGCGACAGAGACTGGAGTTCCTTCAGGGCCACTGCAGGGGGGGAGAGGGAGGATGGCGCGGAGGGCCCTTCCAGAGCCCACCATGAGAGGGAAAATACAGAGCTTTGCTCATCTCTGCCCTACCCCGCCCCACTCACAGAGGTTGTCCAGGCCTTGGTAATTGATGGCACAGTCACTGGCATCGACAGCCTCTACAGGTATTGCTTGGAAGTTCAGGAACTCAAGAGAGGAGTAGCCATGCCCACCTGACCGCATCCACTCCTTGCCCTGGAACCTGGAAGGGGAGAGGGCGTGTCAGCGGGTACCCTACCCCGCCCCAGGCCTCCAAACTCTTGAGAAAGCTCCCCAGCCCCGTACAAGACAATGATGGCATCTGTGCACTTACTATATGTCAGGCCCTGTTTTAAGGGCTTTACATGTCTGGTCTCATTGAATCCCCTAACAATCCCACGAAAGACAGAATGTTTGGCTAATTTTACATACCTAGAAGCTGAGGTCTAGAGAGATTACTGATAAGAGATAATACAAGAATCCTTATAGATAGGCAAAAGTGGAGGTGTCTTCAGACATGTATACTGTTTCTAAGGTAGGTGCTGGAGGAAGTGCTTGAATGAAGTAACGTTTTTAATTTGAACAAAGATGAGAGGTATATGAAGTCTATAGGAATTGTTTTTCAAAAAAGAAGAAAAAGGCGGGGAAACAAAGGGAGGAGGAGGAGGGGCCAGAGAAAGGGAGAACGAAAGAAAAGAAACACTAACATTTATTGAGCGCTTGTGCTATGCCAAACCTTGTTACAAATGTTGAGATTGCAAAATGTTTGTAAGTTAGATACAACTACCACCCCCTTTTATAGATGACACAACTGAAGCTCAGGACCAAGCCCCAAGCCACACAGCCAGTAGGGGGCAGAGACAAGGGGACTCACGGGGAAGCCTGTCTGACTGGAGAGCCTAGGGTTTAGAGAGATGCTATACCGCCTTCCCCCAACCCCCGTTTTAACACCTTTGCTGTCATACTTGACTGCGCCTCCCTGCTTCAGGACGAAATAGGCACCTGCGATGTATGGGCCATATCGCTCCTTGATGTAGGTGAAGGATCTGCCGAGAGAACAGTAGCTGAGGGTGAGGCCTGGGGAGCACTGCACCCATGTCCATACCCAGGTGCTGCTGAGAGGGTCAGAGTCCACACCACCAGGGCTGATGGGCATAGACAGACAGATTGAGTCGGGCTGCGAATATTTATTGGGTTCCTGTTAAATACCGGGCACTGGGGGGGGGGGCAGTGGTGATCCAGACAGATAAAGGTCCCTGCCTTGTGAACTTATTTTACAGGGAGAAACAAAACAAACCAGGAAGTAACAGCAAATTGCAGAGTATCAATTCCACGATGAAAATAAAATACCGGGGCTGACTAGGAGTGGCTTGGGTCAGGGGTGGAGATGAAGGAGGCTACTGTAGTTTGGCTGTTAAGAAATGCTTCTTGGAAGAGGTGACACTTAACTTGTGCAGAGCTTTGAATGGTGGGAAGGAGTGCAGAAGTCAAGGCAAGGGCCTGCCAGACTAAGGGAACAGCTAGTGTGAGGCTCAGAGGCTTGAATTGGGATGGTTGAACAAATAGTAATAAGGTCACCATGTTGGCGGGGGTTAGAGGAGGCCCTGGTAGGGGTCTCAAAGCTCAGTAGGGACCAGGTTTTAGGCTTTGGAGTTTGGCTTTCATTCTAGTTGCAAATGGAAACCATTTGAGGGTTTCAAGCAGAGTGGTAATGTTATCTATTTTACTTTCTTTGTAGCCTGTAGGAGAGTGTAAGGGGCAAAAGGTGAACAGTTGGATTACTGCAGTAAACCAACCATAAAACGAAGGGGCTCAGAACAGGCTACAAACAGTGGAGGAGGTGACAACTAGTCAGATTTGGGATATTCTAGTATTTTATTGATGGACTGGATGTAGAAAGCAGAGAGGTAAAGAGAGGAATCAGGGATGACTCCTTAGGATTTGATCTGAATGGGTGGGCAGTGATGCTATTTACTGGGATGGGGAAGGCTTGCGGGTGAGCAGACTTTTTTAGGGGGAAATTAAGGGTTGTTGTTAGCCATGTTAGGTTTGAAGTACCAGCTAGACCCCCAAGAGGAGATGGCAGGCAGCAGGTTGCCTGTAGGAACTGGAGTCTTTGGGAAGGGTGTGAGCTGGGATGAAGATATAAGTCTGCAGGGCTGGTACTGGAAGCCACAGGACTGCCTGGGAGTAGCAAGGGCAGGATCTGGGTTCTGACTAATGAGGCCAAAGGAGCAGGGTCTTGAAGGCCAGGGGTTCTCACCGATTTTTCTGGTGTAGCTTTGATACCTGCTTTCGGAACAGGTACTCCCTCAGAGCCTTCACGTCATAGAAGTGGTCAGCGAGGAACTGGAGTAGCTTCCCCCACTTCCTCTGATTGCCTTCTGAGGCCACCGCACTGCTCATGCCACGGATGCCCCTGGTACCCCCATTCCATAACGGGGCCACCAGGTGGATGTACTGGGAAGGAGGAGAGGAGAGGAGAGGAGGGGCTGAGCCTAGAGCCTCCTGTAAGACAGACCTGGATCCCCCGGTTCTTGGTCCATGAAACCCCTTTCCGCATGCTTCCTGGCTCACTAAATTATTCCAGAACGTCTGAATTCTGCCTTTGGGATTCCCAAATTTCCCCCAAATTCTTAACCCTAAGTTCTCTCTTTGATTTAGCCAAACATTCTTGGTTTTCCCAAATTTTCCCCATAATTTTCCCCCAAATGCTTCTTTTTCTCTCAAAACCTCCATATTCTGACCTCTTAATTTCCTACAAATTCTCCCTTAATTTCACTCAGTTTCCCCTGGGGTTTTCCTGAATAACTATTTCTTTTCTGAAAATATAATCTTAATTTTTTTTCACCTTTAACTTACCTCTTCAAGTCCCCAAACTCTTCCTTCAACTTGCACTCCAAGTTTTCTCTTAGCCTGTCCCAATTTCTCTTTTTGCTTTAACCAAAATCTCCCGATAACTTTGCCCAAATCCTTATTTTCTCTCAAAGTTCCTCTTAAACTCCCAACCTTACTTTAATTTTTCCTAAATCCATTCTTTGATTTTACCCAACTCTTCCCAAATTATCTCCACAAATACCGCAAATTCTCCCCTTCATTCTCTTGGAACTCCCAAATTCACCTCTTGGTTCTTGCCGCCCCCCTCCCTATCTTTTGGTTTTCCATCGAAATTCCTCTTTCCCATGACTTTCCCTCACCTGTATCCGTTGGTGTCCTACCCTTGGCCTTGGCCAATTCCCTCCAAGCCCTCTTTTACTTCTAGGTCCCACTCTCGCCGGTCCATGACTCCTAGGGCTGTCAGTGGTATCCCTCCCTCTGATTGGCTGGGTGCGCCATTTCAGGACGCACTCCCTGCTTCCGTATTGGTTTATCTCAGTCAAATCCCCGCCCCCTCTTCCCCTCTGCAGCTCATCAACAGCCTGCGACCTGCACCCGTCCTTCCCGGCCCCAACGGCCGCAGGTCTACACTGCCAACGCGATGCCTAGCGGGAGATGCCGCCTGCTCCCCCACAATCCTTGATCCCTGGCCTCCGACAGAGCCCCTGAAGGCAGAGGCAGCAGAGCGGACTTAAATTGGGGGTTCTAGGAACTGCAGTCACCTACCGCCCTGGGCGCCGCCATCTTGTTAGGATTACGTAACCGGAAGGGGCCAGTCCTTTCTTAACCCACCCATCTGACTCAGTCCTGGACTTTATTTCTTATGGTCACGCCCCCTCTGTTTTTTAACCTTCCTCTTAAAGGCGCACGCACTTTTTACTTTTTTTGGGTTTAGGGATTACTCAGAGCGCCCTCTCCGTGGGCCTTAAAACAGGACTTAAAACTGTAGCCTTTCCCTAGGAGAGGGTGAGCTGCCCTTCCTTTTAGAGTACCATCATTCCCTTCTGACTGCAGTCACAGTCTCCCTGAGTTTTCCTGTTCTCCAGCTCACTTGCTACCTCCTTAAAATAAAGAATGATGTGACTGAAAAGCTGACCACCATTCTTTTTTTTTTTTAAGATTTTTATTGGGGAGTTTGGGGGATGGGAACAGTGCTGGGGAATTGGGGGAAGGGGAACAGACAAGTTGCTGTCGTTTTGTTCTTCAGTCTAGTTGTGGAGGACGTTGCTTCACTGGCCCATGTTGGTACCATCATTGCGCTCTTCCCGGGTGAGGCAGATCACTTCTGGCTTCTGGATGGCCGCTCACGCTGGCTGCTGGCTACACACGGTAGCCCATGGCAACCCACTGCAGCAGGGGTTGCAGCCCACACCGTTACTGGCGACTCAAGGCAGCCCAGCTCCAGGTTGAGCTGTTGTTCAGCATCTTAGCTGTAGAGGGCAGTGTCACTGGCTCTCATATATGGGATCCGAACTGGGGCCCTCTGGCATCCCAAGCCAGGTCTTAACCACCGTGCCAATAGGCCGGCCCTGATCACCATTCTTTAAACCAGGGTCAGGGAAGGGAAAATGGTCGAGTGGGTGGCGAGGGCAGACTTCAGGGTTATAGAGGTGAGATCTCAAGACTAGTTTTGTGCTGTATTTGTGACCTCAGTTTGGAGTTCAAGGCTAGATCTCAGCTTGAAGATTCAATGTGAAGTCATGTTGATAGAATTATTCATTCATTCATTCCACAAATATTTACTGAACACTTACCACGTGGCAGGCACTGCTCTGGGTGCTAAGGTTACCTTGGTGAACAGGACAGACCCACCCCTTCTCTCAGGGAGTCAACATTCCAGGCAGGGAGAGGATGGATAAGAAATTATTAGCAAGATAACTTCAGATAGTATTTGATAAGAGGCAAATGAAAACAGGTAATATAATAGGGAGTGACTAGGTGTAGGGCCATCAGCAAAAGTCACTCTGCAGAGATGACATTTAAATGGAAGTGAAAGATAAGAAGAAATCAGCATTCAAAGATCTGGGGGGAAAGTGTTTCAGGTAGAGGTAACAGTCAGTGTAAAGGCCCATCTTACAGAAAGAACTAGGAGCCTGGGTCAGAGAGGTGGGCAGGAAATTGACTGTACAGGCCTGTTTGGATTTTATTACATTCACAGGAGTCATCTGATTTACATTTTATGAAGATTATTTCCACCAGGTTGAGAACAAACCTTAGAAGGCAAGAGTGGAGGGGGGTGGGCACAGCAAAGAGGCTACTGTAATCTTCCAGATAGATAAATGGAGACAGGATCAGGGATGGGGCAATGAAAATAGTGAGACGTGCTTGGATGATGAGTCTTTTGAAGGTTGAGCCAACCGCTTGAGAAACTAAAAGGACAGTGATGCCACTCATAGAGATGGGGACACTAGGGAAGTAGCAGGTTTGGAAGGGCAGGTGAGGAAGGCTGAATTTGCCCCCTCACACACACAGCAATCCATGTCCTGATCCCTGGAACCTGTGACTATGTTACTTTAAATGTAAAGGGAAGATGTGATTAAGTTGAAAATCTTGAGATGGGGAGATTATCCTGGATAATCGAGGTTGGCCCAATATAATCATTGAGGGTCCTATAAGATGGAGGCATGCGGGTGAGTCAGTAGGAGACTCGAAGTGATGGTAAGTGCAAGAGGCTGCAGTGATGCAAGAAAGGGGCTATGAGCCAAGGAATGCAGGTGGCTTCTAGAAGCTGGGTAAGGCTAGGAAATATTGGGTTGTTGGAAAAGTCATGATGCATTTTTGCAACGAAAAACATGGACAAAATACGTCATGACTTTTCTGACAACCCAATAGATTCTCGCCCCTAGAACCTCCAGAGGAACCCAGCCCTGTGAACCCACTTCAGACTTCTGACCTCTAGAACTGTAAGAGGATAACTGTGTGCTGTTTTAAGCCACTAACCTTGTGGTTATTTGTCATAGCGGCACCAGGAAACTAATAGAGTTTCCCACAGGAGAGTTCTGTTTTGACAATATTCACCTTGAAAATGCCTGAGACATGGAGGTGGAGATGGCAGTTGGGGTCTGAAGCTCAGGAGGGAGGTCAGGACTGGAGTCAGACTTGGGAGCCATTGACACATAGATGGAATTTGAACACCCTGGGCCTGAAAGAGGGGCTCTCGTAGAGGGGGCCCAAAGTGAGTCCCATAATCCTTTTCCCTGGCAGGGCCCATGCTGATAGTGATAACGTTTGTAGGCAACTCTAGGGAGCAGAATTGGCTGTCACCTGTGGGCCAGCATCCAGACACTGAGGCATTCCAGCTGAGGGATCGTTCTCTTGGAAGCCACTCCTGGCTCCTCAGGCACACTGGTTGGGAAGCCCTAGGGTGGCCTGAACGGAGAAGACAGGCAAGGAGGCGGGGCAAGGAGGACTGGTGGGAGGGACCCAGGATGAGTTGAGGCCAGGCATCAACAGATACTGAGCAGAGAGAGGGGTCAGGCCTGAGAAAAGGTGGGGAGGGGTGGACTTTGTCTTCTACCAGAGGGGCTGTGGTTGGACCCTTTGCGAGCAGAGTTGAGGTTAGACTTCAGAAGGAAAAACATACACACATAAGGACGCTGATTCTCACTGGAGAATGGACTTTGGGATACCATCCCAGACCCGCCCCCCG